CAAAAAAAAAAAAAAAAAAAAATTGATACAAATATAAATCTATGAAAGACAATAGATATAAATCTATCATTCCCAGTAAGTATGAATGGACTCAGTTACATAAAGTTGAAGGTTGGTACCCTGGAAAAGAATATCCAGTACACAGTGTTTGCAGGAGACACATCTAAAACATATTACAACAGGTTGGAACAAATGAAAAGGATAGCATTGGGAAATCAATCTCTTCCCTCTAAGGAGAGCAGGAGGCTGTGCACAGTAGCACATACCTGTAATCCCAGCAGTTTGCAAGGCTGAGTTTGGTGGATTGCTTGAGTTTGAGACCAGCCTGGGCAACAGAGAGACCCCCATCTCTACCAAAAAAAAAAAAAATTTTTTAAATCTAGCCTGGCATGGCGGCATACACCTGTAATTCCAGCTCCTTGGGAGGCTGAGGCTGGAGGATAACCAGAGTCTAGGAGTTCAAGACTGCAGTGAGCTGTGATCATGTCACTGCCCTTCAGCCTGGGCAACAGAGCAAGACCTTGTCTAAGAAAAAAGAGAACGTGCACCAGGCGTGGTGGCACGCGTCTAATCCTTTTGGGAGGTCAAGGTGGTCAGATCACAAGGTCAGGAGTTTGAGACGAGCCTGACCCCATCTCTACTAAAAATACAAAAAGTAGTTTGGCGTGGTGGTGGGCACCTGTAGTCCCAGCTACTCAAGAGGCTGAGGTAGGAGAATTGCTTGAACCTGGGAGGCAGAGGTTGCAGGGAGCTTAGACCACACCATTGCACTCCAGCCTGGGCGACAGAGCAAGACTCCATCTCAAAAGAAAAAAAAAGAGAACATGAAGAATTACTATTTTTTTCTCTTTTCAGGTTAAAGAAGAAAGAGTTTAGTTTAGAAGAAATATATACCAACAAGAATTATAAATCTCCTCCTGCAAACAGGTAGGTACTTATAGCTGGGAAATAAAAGGGAAGAATTTGAAATGACTGATATGAATCTCTAGCCCTTTCACCTTAGAGTTTATGTTCAGTTGTACCAATACTGGATCTTGTAAATAGCTAGAATTGGTATTTTTCAATTCCAGCCCTTGTATTAGGGTCAGTAATAGGATACGAAATAGTGTATTAGGTTACATAAAGAAAATATAGGCCAGGTGCAGTGGCTCATGCCTGTAATCCAAGCACTTTGGAAGGCCAAGCCGGGTGGATCACCTGAGCTTGGGAGTTCAAGACCAGGCTAACCAACATAGAGAAACCCCATCTCTACTAAAAATACAAAAATTAGCCGTGCGTGGTGGTACATGCCTGTAATTCCAGCTACTCAGGAGGCTGAGGCAGGAGAATTGCTTGAATGAGGGAGACGGAGGTTGTGGTGAGCCAACATCGTGCCATTACACTCCAGCCTGGGCAACAAGAGCGAAACTCCATCTCAAAAAAAACCCAAAAATATAAGATAAGAAAATATTGTCTCAGCCTGGCACAGTGGCTCACATGGTAATCCAAGCACTTTGGGAAAAGGCCAAGGCAGGCAAATCACCAGAGGTCAGGAGTTCGAGACCAGCCTGGTCAACGTGAAACTCAGTCCCTACTAAAAATACAAAATCAGCCAGGCATGGTGGCGCACACCTGTAATCCCAGCTACTCGGGAGGCTGAGGCAGGAGAATCGCTTGAACCCAGGAGGTGGAGGTTGCAATGAGCCAAGATTGTGCCACTGCACTCCAGCATGGGCAACAGAGTGAGAC